CGTCGGAATGGCTCGAGTAAGGCAACTTAGAGTGAAAGCGAGTAAGTTTTTTTCCATTTAGGTTAATACCTTTTTGCATTTTAGTGAAACTGCTATTTACCCACACACATCATTTTGCATTTTATAGTTATACATTTTTAATTTAGTGTGATAGAGAGACAATCAGTATCCAAACTTAAGTCAGTGTACAGTTAAACAATAGATTATTGAAATTCTTAATGATTACATATGGAACGTGCATCGGTAACAATTTTCTCGACTGCTGACCATTCTAACAATTATGTAGAAGAGTGTTAATGGGTAGCTGCGTTTTTTTATGCACTTGAATTAAATTTGGGTTTTAATGACGGCGTTCGTTTGCTCCGTCGGCAGATGCTACTTTGAAGGCTTCTAAAACAACTTTAATTCTCCTTAACAGATATGTCCATAGTTATTAAAAAGTTCGAAATGTGACAAATCGCTGAGTGAAATGAATACCAAAAAAAACTTCCTAATCATGATATCTTTTGTTTTCCAACTTTTAGCGCAATGTAAAGTCCTAAACTATATGGAGACATCGTTCCAAGAATGTTTCAAGGTATACTCGACGAAGAACGAAGAGAAGACCGCCTACTACAAACCAGGCTGGAGGCCTATCGACAATACTACGATTAATCACGAGTTATTACAACTTTGCCCGAAGCCATGGCGATATCAACATGCCCAAGAAACCGACACTACACCTAGGTGGGGACAGTTCTCCTTTTATGATGGAGGAGGATTTGTAGCAGACCTCGGTTATGATAGCCATACGGCATTCAGCCTATTAACAAATTTACAAAACAACGGTTGGCTTGACAGGCAAACCAGAGTTGTCCTGGCAGAGTTTTCGACACTCAATCCGTCGGTAAATATTTTAGGTGTTGCTACATACTTCTATGAAGTTGATGCATCTGGACTGAGAGCAGCCTCCATGCAAACTCGTGTTCTTTCACTTGATTCTACAGGCACACCCTCGCATCAGTTTTATTTGATTTGCTTGTTTCTGTGCATTCTATTCATTTTTCTGTATTTTGGAAGAGAAACTTTCAAACTGTACAATCTTCGTTCTCGATATTTCAAGTCAATGTGGAATTGGGTCGAGATATTCCAAATTACTTTTTCTCTGATTTCCGTGGTGATGTACATAATGCGACGAAATAGAGCAATTTCAAGCATAGGCAAACTGCATAAAAACATTTACGCAAATCTAAGTTTCCAAGAAGCTATCACTTGCCAAGAGGTAGAAAAAGCCGTACTTGGAATTCTTACTTTCATCGTCACCACCAAGCTGTTGCGCATCATTCGCTTCAACAACTATGTTGCTCTATTCTCCACAACGTTGAAGATATCCGCGCGATCTTTGTCATCGTTTATCATTGTTTTATCCATTTTCTTTGTAGCATTTTTGCACTTCGGTGTCTTGATGTTTGGCTCTGTATGTGAGCGCTACTCTTCGGTGCTGAAAGGAGCTTATTTCCAGCTCGAGCTAACTCTTGGTCGAGTGAAAGCTAGACCAATCAATGAATTAGCGGAGGCTAACACCATATACGCCAAAATATTCACCTTCTTAATTCTCTTCACTCTTACTATTCTGTGCATGAACTTCTTTATCGGCATAATCAACGACGCTCTTTTGTATGCAAAGAACAACGTGAGCGAAAGTGAGCTGTATGAACTTATCAATGAGAACCGTCGCTCGAGCCCAAAAGAAAGAAAAGAATTTTATGATGCAATCAGTAATATATTGAAACAGTCGAGAACCTCCAAAACATCAGCAGAATTGAAGGACAAAGAATCAGGAAACGTTGGCCTTGACCCCAAGAACAGTTCCAATCTCAACTTTGATTTAATAAGTCAACCTATCATAGCTTGGAGGAAGAAAAGATCAAGAGAAACAATAGATAAACAGCAATGTAGCACAAGAAGACAAGCATTGTTCGACAGGATAAGCAACACGTTAAAATCTCTGAAAGGTGAAAGCAATGACGACTGCAGCAAACGTAGAGAAAAAAAGAAAGTAAGATTTCAAGAGGATGTCGTCGAGTCTTCCCTCTTTAAATTACGTAAGAGAGAACATGACCTGTTACAGCGGCTGGAGAGTATTGTTTCAGGGTTCACAACAGAAGACGAAGAATTTGATTATTTAAAAAAAAAAGCAGAGGCGCATAACTACTAAGTAGAGAGAGAGTAAAAAGAAAAGGTGAAGGAAAATAAAACACTTCATCGAAAAATCAAGGTAAAAAACAAACAGTTAAGCATAAATCATCTCGGACACACAAAGAAATAGCTGTAATTCTCTAGCGTGTCGTAGCATTGTGGCTAATAACAAATCAAAGTGCTCTGTGAGCAAAATCGTGAATTGACACATGATTTTTTGGATTATGTTTAATGTCATCTGGTTTAGGGAATTTTGTGGTTGATTGTCATATCTAGAGTACGAGCAGTAGTTCAGTGTTCGCTAATGTAGCAAAGAAACAAAGTGGCGTTGGGATAAGAAGGCATTACAAATGAAATGATCATGCTATTGCCTTTGACAAGGGTGGATGATATCATGTGTTTTAAACGTATATCATTTCTGTTCTGGTTCAAAAGAAAAGGTTGGAAGTAAATGTGGGTAAAAAGTAAAATTTACTGTCTATCATTGCAAATATTAGAAAATCAAGGCAATACTGTCTTAATGAAAACATTAACGATTCCCTCTTTATCAAATGAGACAAACGGGAACGAGTTTTGAGTGATATAACTAAGCCAAGACTGCCACCGTCATTTTGGATCTCCGCTAGGCAACGTACTGAATCAATAACAAGATAGAATTTCATTTCAAGCCTATTTATCAATTTTGTGGTGT